AAGTGCAGAATACCAAGACCTAGATCTGAGGTCCAAGCACGCAGAGCCGAAGTGGCCCAGGCCGAAGAGGAGCGTCGTTTGGACGGAGAAGTGGCTTTTCGAGCAGGATCCTCAGCCATCTCCAGAAAACAGAAGACCTTAGCAGTAGCACTAGACGAAGTCGCCTTGAAGGCGAGCCATGCAAGCAGAAGGAACCTAAGGAGCAGGGTGCTCTCCTCATCCGCCGAGTGGAGCGTTGCCTCAGGGAGAGCGGCAATACCCCAGGCGTTCTCCGCCGAGCGGGACCTAACTGCCTGGAGAGTACCCGAGTCCTGAAACCATCTATCCAAACCCCAGGTGTTGAGGTCCGGGCATCCTCCCACAAAGGAGATGCTTCCTTGCAGCGCCGACGCACAGAGAGACCCAAACAGGGTGTTATTAAGGAGGTCCTTACCAGGGGGCTTCCTAGAGGAATCTAAGGCCAGAACTCTCGAGGAGAGGTCTGGGGCTTGAGCATGGAGGATCGCTTCAAGGGATGAAGCATCCTCACGGCCCGCGAATGGCAAGATTATGGCACCCTGAGGAATGCTGGCAGTGCAATCGGAGGGGGACCACTGGAGTCTCCGGACCAGGCGGTCGGGGACCCCATTAAGCCATTCAGGAGAACAATTTGCAGGCAGAGAGCCCGGGTAATGTTCCTCAATCCAAGGCCCGAGAGAGAAGGGCTTGTCATCCGAGGGAGCACTACCAGAGGGCTGCATGCCCACATGAATGGTCGGGGAGATCGCGATCTGTCCCGTGCATGTTCTCCTTCAGGGCCAAGGGCACCTGGTGTGGAGAGGGCAACCCGTGTCTCCACTTCCGACACTTCTTTTCGTTCAGGGCCACGGGCACCTGGGACTGGAAGTCCTCACTTGTAGGGACAGTTGTCCGGACTGTGCTCATTCGGAGGGGCATTGCACACCCAACCGTCTTTTTCACCGGACAGTTGTGGGAGCGTCCACAGTTACCGGGGCACTGCTTCTTGATGTGGTAATCTCTGCAGAAGGGGGTGCCCTTAGGATTATTCCTGGACCAATTCTGGGGCCAGGAGTCCTTGCCCTTGCCCTTGGGAGTGCCCTTCTTACCTTCTTTGCCCTTAGTGGACTGCTTAAGAAAGGGCTGATACACGGGCTGGTACGCCGACCAGGCTTGCTTGCCTTTCCAGGACCCCTTGCCCGGGGCTTTGGCGAAGGGAGTGCCTTTCTCACCCTTCGGAGTGCCCTTCGGACCCTTCTCCCCAGGCCGAGGCACGCGCTCGTAGACTTCCCTTGTCCAGAAGAGGGCATCAGCACGAACTTCCATCATGGCCTCTTTGAGCGATTTGCCCTCGTAGACCAGATTGTGGATGGCTCTCCACGCGTTTCGTTCAGCGTAAAGGAGAGTTTTCTCCGACGGGGCTGGAGTTCGCCCCGCAATGTCCGGACCCCAGAACCAGTCACACCAATCATCAAGATCATGCTTAGACGCGTCGAACTGCGAGAACTGGGGGAAAGCAAGAAGACACATCGAAAGATTGTTGCGGAAGACGCGGTGCATCCTTTCCAGATGTCGCCGAGTGGTCGGGAGCCTCCGCTCCTCTTCCTCCTCTTCTTTGTCCCAACCGTCTACTGTCACTTTTCGCCTTGTCTTAAAAGGCTTCTCTTCAAGCTCAGGCAAGGCGCTGATGATGTATTTCGCATTGATGAAGCCGAGTTCTCCTTTGGAGCAGAAGCGGAACTGCGCCTTGAGAAGGTTGTCACTTCCCTGGGCCTCAAGTTTGGGCTTCGGGAGCCCCGTTTCCTTAGTCCAATCCGTGAGGAGCTGGTGTCGGTCACAAAGCACTTCGAGGCCTGATCGATCCGAAGAAGCCTGGCCAGGCGTGACACTGGATCGAGGTGCATAGAGGTTCTTGGTCATTTCCTTAGCCGCTTTGATTGCCTGAAAGAGACGCATGGCAGTGAAAGCGCTGCTTTGATCTGTGAAACCATTGGTCCCGCTGGCAAAACCTAGATCCTTGGGGCCATTGGTTCTGGCGGCCGACGCATCGTCCCAGCGGTCGGCGATGTCTTCCAGAGTAATGTAGCCCTCCTTGGCCAATGCTGCCTGGACAGAGTAGGGGATCTGTTTTCTTGCCAACAGGGTGGAGACAGACGAGTGCAGCCCTGCGATGTCGTCGGCATAGGCATCTGGGATGGTTTCAGGAGGCTTGGCTAAAGCCGCCATGGGGAAGGGAGGGCGGGTTTCAAATTATGAAGGACCCACGGTCCACGATCTTGGGCCAAAATGGCAGAGCCATTTTGGCAGACGTCTCCTGACATAAGTCTTGCAAGTCGGCAAGCTTTGTTGCAAGTAACTAATGTCAGATATCCGCATGAAAATGGCACACCAAAAGACCATGCTCGCAAGCCCTCTTTTGCATGGTGGATTGGTGTGGCTGCCGACTCCCGGGATGTTCCTTCGGTCGAAGACCTCAGACAAGAATGAGGCCGTTCCGAAACATAGGAGGGTCCCCTCCTTCAGGGCCTACGGCACCTGTGGATCGGGAACCCTCCTTGTACAGAAAAGAGTTCCAAAATTTTGTGCCGTCCAGAAAGAAGCCACAGCCGAAGGATGGGCGGCACAAAAGAACCCCAAAACTGAAAGATGTCGGCCATCTAAGGCTGGCCTTTGGAGGCCAGAGCCCTGTCCAGGTCCTGGTAGGTGACCTTTTCCGCTTCCGAAGCCGTGTCCACAGAGTCATCCGTCAGGCTGCTTGAGGAGGCCGATTCGCTGGAATCTCCCGCGGGGGGAGCATCCCCCACTCGAAACTCTGCCGGCAAGGAGAACTGAAGGAAGCACCTCGCACACAGGTTGTAGGAGTTCACGTCGCCCTGATAGTCTATGGCGTTAAGGGCCTCCACCTTGTCCATAGAAGGGCTCCAACCGCAACCCACAGCCCGGAGGTTCTGATTCAAGAGGTGGATCCGCTTTTTGTTGCCTCGGGCCACCTTGGTGGCTACAGGGGTGAGAGGTCCTTGAGGCGGAGGCACTTCGTCCGCCGGGATCTGCGTCATAAGCCAGCTCGACGCCGGGCTGTCTGCATGGCGAGAAGGAGTGGATGAGTCCCTCACTGAACGCGGAGGGCTCCCTTTTTCAGGGCCGCTGGCACCTGAGACTGGGAGCGCACCCGCAGCAGGAATCTCCAGGGGGTGCTGCGGTTCCTCGCGAGAGAGATCAATGACTGAAGTGCGGGTGCCCGCCGTGTCGATCTGATCCAGGTTCGAGGTGACCTTTTCCCAGATGGCGCAGACCACGTTCCTCTTCTCCCGGGTGTAGACATCCGCAGTACTCTCCGCCATCCAGTTTCCAAGATACTGCCGTTGGTCGCGAGGGACGTGTGCTTGGAAGGCGCAGTCCGGCATGAACACCCGGAAGGAGTGCCAGGTGAGGCCCTCCCACAGGGCCTTGTCGATTTCCTGCCTGGACATGGCCGAGCGCAGCCAATTCAGAGCGCGCTGCGAGGTGGCGGGCCTGGCAATGAAACCGTCATAGTCCTTGCCAACGGTCGGGATGAGGTAGTCCATGGCATCAAACATGGGGGTCGCCGAGAGCTTGCGCCAAGTGGAGAGGAGAGGAGTCCACCAGTCCTTGCCCGAGAAGGAGTACTTTGGGCAGATGAGTGGGACCGGCTTTTTATGAATCGCCACCGCCGAGTGGGTCTTGGTCTGCCATGCTGAAAACTCAATGGTTGTGGAGGTCACCTTGAGGGTATCCGGGCTAGTATGTTGAAGGTCACTGAAGCGGGCACTGGAGCCGAGCTGGAACCTTGCAATGCCACAGATAAAGGCATCCATGAGCTCAATTCTTGTGGCCGAGCTCGAAAGCGGGCGAGCCGCGACCTCTTCCGCCTGAACCACAAAGGACTTGGAGGGGACCTGGGCTTTCCGCATCGGACGGTGCACTGTGCTAACGAGGGACTCCGAGAGGGCTTTCTTCTTCTCAGTGAGCCGAAAGACCTCGTCAACCGCAAGGAGCCCAAACTTTTTACCAAACCACTTGAGGGTGTCCCACACCTGTTGAAGTTTGTGAGGAGACACCTCCTGATCACGGAGAGTGTTGAGGAGGGCACGAACGTCGTGTTCCTTCCATGGTATGGCCTTGAAGCCAAGGCGCCTGAGCTCTTCATAGGAGAGGCATCGCATCCTGAGGGCGCGGAATCTAGCATCTTTCAAGAGATCCATGAACTCCCCTTTGAGCTCAAGAGAGATGAGAGTGGTGCCCGAGGGCATTATAGCCGCCATGTGCGGGATTTGTCCAGCAGCCGGGAGGAGATACGAGAGGAGCCTTTCCCCCCATTTCTCCCGCAGGCCACGTTCCAGGGCCCGCTGGTTGGTAGAATGGTGTTCGGAGACATTCCCCGGTTTCCAGTGGCGCCACCGGCTCACCGTACAGGGGGCAACCAAGATCCCTTCTCGTAGTTCGCGCCACTCAAGGCGGTCTAGTTCTGCCCTTCGTTGGACCACCTCTGTAAACATGTGAGAGGGAGTGCCTGCAGCGACCTTAGTGCAAAGGTCCCAGAGAGAGGTGAGGATCCCCTGAGCATCCTCCTCCCCCGTGGGGCCTGAGAAGAGAGAGAGAGAGAGAGAGCCCTTTCCACAATAAGCTGGAAGACCAGTGTAGGGCGGTATGAAAGGACCACAGATCGTGGCGGCCCATCAGGGACACCTAGTACGCGATCCAGTTCCTGGGTAGGCCTACAACGGGCCATGAAATCCACAATTTCTTGCCCCCCGGGCCGTGTCACATCAACTTGTTCCTCCTCAAAGGAGCGACCCGACCCCCTGATGATCGGGTCTAGTAACACTCCTGCAAGAACCTCGCCATCAGACTGAAGGGGGCCAATGCCTTGCTCAAAGAGAGCAGAGATGAGAGGGTCAGGGGCCCTGACAAGGGCCCTCCCAAAGGGAGATGGGCAACAAAATACAAAGGTAGTCATCCTGAGCCACGGAAGAAAACAGGGCTCAGGCCGGGCGGACCCGGGATGCCGCAAGCTCGTGGATCTTCTTGAGGCCATCCCGCTCCGGGTTGGAGAGCACCACCGACCAGATCATGTCGGAAACCTGGCCCATGAGGTTCGTCTTGCTGAACCGGAGCCTGGAGCTGAGGCTCGGGTTGACCCGGAGGGAGCGATCACGGGGGGCCGCCGTGGGCTCCACCTTCTTGTAGAACTCGATCCGGTCCTTGACCCAGGACTCGTAGAGGTGCAGGGGGGGCTCGTCCAGGATGAGCTGGAGCTGCGCGGACTTCCCTCGGTGCTCCCCCGTGATCAGCAGGAACCTGCTGGCACCTCTGCCACTGCGCCAAAACCCCTTGCAGTGGCGGCAAACGTAGCCCCCGGGTCTCGCCCTTCTTCTTGTCCACAATCTCCCACGGAGAGACGGAGCTGAGGACCAGGCCACACTCCATCTTGGCCCAGAACACGTGGGCCGTCTTGTCCCCCACGTTCTTCTTCTTGTAGTCGTCCGAGGCCACGCTCGTGACATTGTCCGGGGTGATGGGCGGGAGGGAGCGCTCCTGCTCCGACCCCGGGTCCAGGGGAATCCTTTCAGCGCCAAAGGCAGCTGAGGTGTCCCTGTCCCCCAAGCCGAGGCCTTTGATGTGGCTCTCCGAGTAGCCAAGCTTGCGGTAGATGGGGCCGGCGTACTCCGGCTTGAGGCGGGCTGTCCACCGCTGCACGGTGTTGCAGCGCCACGCCATCTTGACCTCCACCACCGACTCTTGACCCAACGAGTTGGAGAGCAAGTTGTAGATCTCCGGGAAGTGCCGGAAGGCCTTCAAAGGAAGGGTGATCCTTTCGTCACATACGGCTCTCAATCGCATGTGCTGCTTGGAGTCATGGATGTCCGAAACAGGGAGATCCAAGACCACCTGCGGCGTACGGTTGATGAAGACCTTGGCAGCGAAAAAGGAGCCGATTTCGCGGTAGAGCTGCTTCCACTCCTGGTTTGTCGTGGGCACCGGGAGGTCGTGCAGAATCACAAACTCCTTGGCCTCCTTCATCAAATCACGGTGGTCGTCTCGTCGCTGCAGGTTCTGCTGCTTGTTCTTGGCCCCTCTCTTGTGGGGCCTGACGGTGATCGGCAGGTGGCTCCACACCGCGTAAAGGTGCCTGGCCGAGTAGGTGTGGCCGAAGCAGGAGAAGAGGCCCACGTCTGCACCTCCTTTCTCCAGTGGGTGTTCCCGTCCCCCTCAGCATGGAACGGGCCGATGATCTTATCCAGGGGGGGCCTCGTGCCCATTGCAACCTGTGCCTCAATCTCCTCCATGGTGAGGGCAATCGGCTCGAAGAAGGGCTGCCTGAAGGAGCAGGGGTGTGTCCTCATCTCCAGCATGATCTTCTCCCCTTCGGGCAGGGGCTTTGCCCACGTAGGGGGTTCAAGGGGCCCCGGGTGCTGCTTCCATCTGCCCCCGATCATGCGCTGCTCCCCCATGTGCAGCTCGATGATACGTTTGAGGCGAAGCATCTGGAACTCGACCGAGCCCACTGGAACACCCAAGAATGCCTCCGGGGACTGCTCCTCAGGGCCAAAGGCGCCTGTGGAAGACAGCCCCTCGCCGGAGTCCCGGGCGACCCGCTCGCCCTCACGCTGCAGAGCGGCCAAAGTGGGAAGCTCTTGCAGAAGAGAGGCAGGGAACGGATTCCTGCTCTGGTTTAGCAGGAACTTCGTGTTCAAGTACCTTTCCCTAAGGGCCTCGATGTCATCAAGCTCCATATCCTTGAGCGGGCACTCCGGGTTGAACACGTTCATCTCCAGGGCCGCGCGCAGCTGGGTGCCCCAGGTATCAATGGAGTCCGCCACCGGCCGGAGGAGCTGGGAGCGCTGGGATCCCTCATCCTGCATGCGCTTGTTCGAGGCCTTGGCCTCTTCCAGGCTAGTCTGCGCAGCAACAAACTCGTCTCCCTGATTCCCAGGGCCCTGGAGGTAATTTCGCTTAAGAAGGGAGCGAAGCTTCTCTGTATCCAGCTGCCGGAGGATTGACGCACCCTTTGCCTCCTCGACACTCTGTGCGCCCGCCTGCATCTCCACGATCACATCCAGCTGGGGGTTGATGTGATCCAAGAACTCCTCCTCCGTGGGCTTCTTGGGCTGCTTGTCCACCGGGCCCGAGCTCTTCTTGGTGATGTCCATCGCCGCCGCCAGCTGGGGATGGAAAGCCCTTGTCTCCTGGCTTGGTTGCCAGTCATCCCTGAGGTGGGGTCTGTCCCCCGCCTCCTTGTCGGCAAACTGCACCTCGTCGAAAGGCTGTGTTGCCACCGTGTGAGCCAAGCTAAGCCTCAGGGCCATAGGCACCTGGTCGGCGAAGCTCAGCTCCTTCTGATCCGTGGGCCTGGGTGGCGGCTGGGCCCAAGAGCCAATGTCCACGGAGGCGGCTTCTTTCTGGGCCTCGTCTGCATCCGTGTGCCATGTGACACCCCGGGGGCCACAGAACATTCGCCAGCACGAGGGGGCACCAAACTCTCAACGGTCTCCATGCTGGAGGCCAGGACGTCATCGACATTGGCGACGGGGGTGAGTGCCATGATCGACGGTCGCAAAGAGAAAGCGGGAGCAAAGGTTTCAAATTATGAAGGACCCACGGTCCACGATCTTGGGCCAAAATGGCAGAGCCATTTTGGCAGACGTCTCCTGACATAAGTCTTGCAAGTCGGCAAGCTTTGTTGCAAGTAACTATCTCGCTCAGCAATTGAAACGTGTTGCGAAATCTCGTGAATGCGCTTCATACAGTCATTGCTTCAACTGACTGCTTGCTTCATGACCTGGCGGCTTGACATGCAAGCGAGGCAGCATAGTCGTGATACTGGATGTGGTAGACTTATCAAGAGGACAGTCATTTTATTCTCACGCTACCCACGCTTTTCTTATGCTGGCGATGCCGGGGTTTCTTTTTTATGCTCGATCTGAGAATCTGGCTTTTCTTTATGCTGGGGTTTTCCTTTTTATGCTGGACCTGGTCTTTCTTTGTCCTGGGGCTTTCCTTGCTGCGCTGAACCTGGAGCTTTTATTGCTGCATTTTCCTTGTCATGATGCTTGACCAAACCCTGCAGCCATGTTCACTCTCGCCACGATTCTGCGGCGCCACTGCACGTTTCGTGGCGAGACTTGCCACGTTGTGCATGTAGGCAGCGTTCCTGGCCCCCCAAAAAATGATAATGCCGCAATAATGCCCATGCTACAAGGGCATAAGAAAACGAAGATGCCGGCAACAGAATGGAGACATCGAGGTGGACATCATAAACATAAAACCCTGAGCATAAAAATGACACCGTCCTTAAACTTACGTCCGTCCGTTGAGAGGGGTCTCTTTCAAACGACCGTCCCGTGCTTGAGGCACCACGCTTCAAACTATCAGAAATGCACTTTAGTTCTGGAACTCGTAGTGGCTGCATGCGTGGTGCCATTCAATGGCGCTGTCTACGAATCACAAGATGGTGTTGCCACTGGCTCGGGAGTCGGAAACATCTATGCATTCTACGGTACATGCCAAGCCTCAATCACTTCGTGTTGCAATCTTCTGATAGCTACTTTTGCAGTTCTTGCGGCGGAACATTGATGACCTCCTTGGATTGTGGAGCGCTTCCGCACTGCAATTTTCTGCCATTGCAAACAACTGGCGTTTTTGATCGAGGTTCAATTTGTCGGGAAACGAAAGTGTTCTGGACGTGGCCTTGCACATCGAGCAAACCAAGTCAGTGGAGCCTGTGCGTCTGCATGTGTATGATCTGTGCCTGGCAACAGCTGTCATCCTGACAGCATCTTTCATACCCTTCAAAGTGGAGGGTTTCGGAGATAGCTTCGCAGAAATTCCTCCAGCGTTGATAACAGCACTGTGACACAACTCATCGACTTGCTTGTGCAACCTGCAAAAGCAGAGCAGTACGCTGATTGGCAGCAAGGTGTGAAGGGGAAGGGTGAGAAGGGGGAGGGAGATGCGTGGGACACCTGTCGAAGTTGGGCGCCAAAAGCGGGTGTCGCCTAATCTTAAAGCTGAATTCAAGTTGCGTCTGGGGGATCGTGGGTTGAGTATTGCGGCTTTCGAGCAAACGGATTCAAACGGTATCATTGCTCCAAACAGCCTCGCGGAAATATTGTCCATCGAGTGTTCAACTTGCATTTTTTGCATCGGCAAATCTACGAGCAGTCTGCCCTCGTGCATTTTTTGCAGCTCCAAATACGCGCCTTGGGCTGTGTTGGTTCACGGGCACGAAGCTGTTCAGACGTTGCTATAGAGATGTCTGGCAGTACACGGTAGGCTGGGGATAGGTTTTCAGCTTGTTGCCTCTGCCATATGCGACAGTGGGACTGCATTTAGTTCTTCCCATTTCGTGGTTCTTTTTGGCAGCCTTTCTGCCTAGCAGTTTCCCTGAAGAGTTCTCCTGAACGTAAGCTAGGAACATGGCTGCTCAGCACAAAAGGCTGCATCCGTTCGGGGCTTGAGCATCATTATTTCCCGGCTGAGAAATCAACTCCAAGAATACGAAGTGTCGCAGATGCCATCGACATGTTTCAGCTTCTTGACCACTCCCTCCCTGCTGTCAGTGGTGTGTCAACAGTTGAGACGGCTGCCGATTGGGATGACCACGATGGCTTGCAGAAAAGAGCCACTGAAGTACTCCTTCACACATGACATGGCCAACAACTTTCACCTTCATAGTGTGCAACTGGCTTCTCTTCTACATGCGGTGCGGTGGAGGAGTCCTGTTGGATTGAGCCCCATGCCTGCAAGGCAGTGGCTATGCAAAAGCAACGTCTTCAAGCATTGCGTGTGGTCAAGAACCACGCGTTGATAGTAGCGAACCCAGCAACATGCGAGAACAGGACAGACCTTGGCTCCACGATGTGATGCAGTAGGTTAAGGAAGTTAAGGTGCCCCAGCCAAAGCGGGTTCAAAACAAAGGCTTCGGCCAGCTCTTCACGTTCAGCTCGACCTTCTCCTGGTCCGGCCTCGTCTCTCCAAAAGCCCCAGCAAAGTCTCACCCAAGCCCCAACTTGCATTTTGACTGGTGTTTGGGGCCCTGAGAAGGAAGAACACCCATGCCGAAGTCCCAGTGAGCAGTTGGATTCTGCAAGTCTGCTCCGAGGCGTATTGAGCACGGACATGCACTGACACCACCAAGAATTGCCTAATCGGTTGAAGAGAGGAAGAGAGAGATAGAGTGGGGAACACGGAAAAACTTTGGATGCCGTCCATGCAAAGCATGCTTTGAGTGCAATTTCCTACTTTCCTTCACACGTCGATCTTTGTGCTGTGATCCACCGTGGTCTTGCCAATGCTCTCGCGCCTCCGCTTTGGCTCGCGCATGCGTGCTGTCGGCAACCACAGCCAGTGGCAAACATTGTTGGGACAAACTGGCACAAACCGAACAGATGCAGCCTAGGCCTCAGCAAGCCATGACCCGCCACTGCGGAACAGCCGAGTAGCAGCAGACAGCTGAGCCTCTCACTCGGCGCCAAAGTACTCGCTCAGCGCACCGCTGGTGATCCTCGATTGTCACCGAACATGCGGCAGTTCTTGTCACCAGATGTCACCCAAACTGCAGCTGGAGGAAGCTTGTACTTTCACTGGCAATTCCATCTTAAATTTCCAGTATTTGCAGGAGCTCACTGGGGCACTTCCTGAGAAAATCACGTGGTTTGTTCGACGGCACGAATCTAGAAAGTACGCGAGTCTGCGTCTCAATCCCTGCCGCTGCAAGCAGAGCTGCTGCAGCATCAGCTCGTGTGTGAATATGAGCCGCCACAAAACTTTACCCAACTCTGACGTCATCAACGGACAGTGCTGGCGGCTGGTCATACAAACGAACGCCCAAATAAAACGCCACAGCCGCAACTAGTAGTTCGCCAAGTATCGCCAGCACAATCTGCATGCATGTGAGCCAGAAGAGCCTCAAGCGCAGCACAGACCACAATTCATGGCTGCAGCAAGCCAGAACGGGCCGAGGCACATTTGACACATGTCAACAGCGACTTCCACAGGAGGTGTGCTGCCTAGCAAAGTCAATCTGTGGTTATCTGCATGTCCGCCAGCCAGAGGGCAGGAAACCTTAAACCTGTGGCCTGGCACAGACCAAGATGAACTCCTTCTCATGGAGTTTCGAATTTGTTGCTGTGCTGAGCATCCGCATCGAAGTATACTAAGTCAAACGTCTCCCGATGCAGATTCAATCTCCACGCTTCTGAACCCTCAAGCGCAACCCTAAACTCGAAACACCTTGGCAGCCTCTACAGCGTAGAGGCATATAAATGTAATAAGCACTACTACTAGCAGCTCCAAGCCCCATTCCGCCCGTTCCCGCAAACCAGGACTCGGCAGAGGGAGGGCAGACAACATGCTTTGGGCTTTTACTGGCCACTTGTTAACAGATTTTTTTTAAATCCGTCCGTGTTTCGGCGCCGCCCGGCTCTCGCAGTCCCTGTGCTCCACAACGGGATACAGGCCCGGCTCAAGCGGGTGTCTGTGGAGGAGAGGGGCCGAGCATCATGTGCATCAGCGGGTCTCTGCGGGCGGCAAGGGCCGAGCATCATGCGCATCAGCGGGTCCTTGGGGGGCTGGAAATCGAGTCCAACCCAAGTCCAACGAAATTTAATTTCGTTGGACTTGCTTGAACCTTGCGGCAATGTTCGCTCTGGGGGCAAAAACAAAGCGAAACAACGAGAGCGAGAGGCAGCGAGACAGAGGGAGAGTCCCAGTGCATGCTTGTTGATGTGATGAGGTCCTAGAAAGATCCTGAGCGACATGTGTTTTGGATTTTGTATTCAATCAAGACTTAAACTGTCATGTGGCAGACAGCACTGGAAACAGTTCGGTGACTTTTTTTGATTCCTAGACTCTAAACATGACATGGAACTTTGACCTCATTGAAATATTTTGTTTTCAAGCCAGGGATTTGTTTCTTTGTCGTCAGAGACCAAAACTTGAATTATCGTGCGGCAACAGTTTCTCGATCAGACACCTTTTCAATACATTGTACTTAGCAACATCACATGGCGCAGACAAATCAACTCATTTGCCACTTGCTTGTTCTTAGTTTCCGTATGTGGTCCTACACCTGCACACATGCACATGCATGCCATGTAGAAATAAAAGGCCATGACTTAAAGACCACACATTACTAGTATAGCGTTGCATCCTGAGTGTTCGAGTAACTGGTCGTGTCTTAGCGATATTATAAATAGTTGGGACTTCGTAACTACTTTCAAGTTACGTAGTTGTAGACTCCGGAACCCCATAAGCCCTAAAGCCTGTAATGCCCTTCTAGCCTTAAGGCCCCTACATCCCGAACCCCGTGTCTTTTCAGGGCCCTGCAGGCAAGCTCGGGAACAAGGTCGCGGAGCTAATGTGCCGTGACGGCGCAGACGACGACGAATGCGCCGTGAGGGCGCAGACGACGAGACGCGACGACCAAAATGCGCCGTGACGGCGAAGGAGAAGT